ATGGGAGGAGCTGATACGCTCCTGCCTTACTGGGGTCGCATGTCAGTGTCAGGCCCCGAAGAAAGGCGAGGAAGGGAGAGGGAACAGGAGGGGTCGAGCTCCATAGAATCGCATGCCAAGGCAGTAGGGCCAGTCTGCCTGTGAGGACGTTCCACACACGACAGGAGTGGGCACCGGTACCACGCGCGCCGAAGCCCCGGCTCCCTCCAGTCCCACATCATGGTCCTCTCCCGGGACATCATGGCCGCTGAGATGTTCTCCGACCTCCGCGAGGCCCGGGAGATGGGGACGGTGGTCAGCAGGACAGAGGGTGTCTCGCCTCCGCAGAAGGCCCTGAGGGCAGAGGTGCACAGGAGTCCCCGGAGTGGACACTGTCATGCGCCAGCACTTGCAGGAAGCCAGCGGCACTAAGGCTACGTGACGTCAGTCATCGTGAAGGAGAGACCAGAAAGGAAAGCCTTTAGGACAGGGCTGCGGGACAAGCCGGGCATATTCTTGCTCATTTCAAGCCTGCCAGTTCATGGCGACACCGGGAATCCAGAGGGCGTTCTGGGTGCCGTTCGCAGGCTTTAGAACGGGACAGCGTCAGCACATCCGGCAACGGCTCCGGGTCTACCCCGTCGTCAGAGCTGAAACGCCAGGACTGAGCACAAACGGGACTGAGGCCATCCTGAGCTCGTTTATTCTGACTGCGATCTGTTTGGAGTGGAGGCACTGTTTTGAAGGGAAAAAAACGTCACGTATGTTGTCTAAAAATAAAATGCATTTCAACTCACTTGAGAGACTGCCTGTTAGTTTAATGTTTAAACCCACCATGTATGTTCCCGGAGCCTGTCTTCAAATAGCTTCCACAGTGAAAACTTTCTGGGGCTGAAATATCAAAAAATAAACAAAACAAAGCAACAAGAATCCAAAGCTTTACTTCTGAGCGGCAGTAAAGGGAAGCCGGCGCACTCCGGGCCAGCATTTGAGGTGGGCCTCGCCACCTGCGCTAGTGGGAGTCGGTCTCTCTGGAAGGGGTTACCCAAAGAATGAAAGGAGCCCCGGCAGCAGGAAGGAGCCGCTGGCTTTGCTCCGAGTGAGTCACAGGGCCAGCTCTCCGGGAGTGCATGCCAAGCCCCCGGCCACCGGATGGGGCTGGTGAGCACGTCGCCTGCTCTGCACACGTCTTAGCCGGGGGCTGTGTTCTTCACATGGGAATATCCAAAGGGTACCTTGCGATGAAACTTTTTTAAAGAAAGAATTAAAGTAATATTTCAAAAGATAAAAATAAAACACTGCAGATCCGGGGCTCTCTCGGCGTGTCCCTGTGGAAAGCAGGCACGGCACACGTGTCCTCGTGCGCCAGTGCGCGGGGTCCCACTCCCTAGCACACTAACACCTGTGACTCCCTCCGCCCTATGGAGCAGTCACCCACCCACCCACCGGCCGGGCTCCCTTCTGCCGCCGGGTCAGCCTCACCCTGCCGGCTTCTCCAGCGTGTGGGCTCATGAGGTATCTGTCGTTTTGTGACTGACGTCTTTCTCTTAGCTCAGTGTCACCAAGATCCAGCTAATGACACAGAGGCCCAGAGCCAGCAGGAGGGTGGAAGCACCCTCCTGGGCATGCTCTTGCTGCCGACCCTCTGCCCTCCACCCAGTCGGGGTCCAGAGTACTCGGGCACGCCCAGTTCCCTGCCCCTCCACCCCTCCAGCCCGTGGGGGTCTGGAGCACACGGGCACCTGGCTCGTTCTTCAAGCCACCAGGGCCACGAGGTGAGCTGCCGTCGGCCATGTGGGATCTGGCTCCCTTGACCACCAGGCCACGGCCGGCCCGTTCCTCTTCACGGTTTCCTGGCAGTTCATGTCCCACACTGTGTGGCCCCACCCCGCACCTGCACACGTGGGCCTCTGCTTCTGGACTCTGGAGGGCGTGCTGCTAGGAGCCCAGGCCCCTGCCAGGCCCTGCTTGGAGGAGAACTGAGTCACAGAGGGGCACGGCAGGTCTCGGGAGGACAGCATGGACGCAGGGACATTTCCAACGTGGCCTGGAGAGCCGCCTCGGCTTTTCTGTCAGCCTGGATGAGTCCTCTAGGGTGGAATGGAGCAGCGAAGAGCAGGGACAACAGGACGTGGCCGAGGAAGGGCCGAGGGGACAGCCGGCATGGCGTCAGGACCTGTGTAGCCATTGTGAGTCCAGCCTTCCTGCCCCTGCACCCGCTGGCCAGTGCAGATCTGGGCAGGGCACACCCGCCAGCAGAGGGCACGGTCGGGCCACTCACGGCTCGAGGCCGTGGGCGGGGGGCAGCACCCACCCCGGGTGG